AAAAAAAAAAAAAAAAAAAAAAAAAAACAAACTTAATTATTATAAGAAATTAATTTAAATTAGGAAAAAAAAATTAATTACTATTAAATGGGAATTAATGATCGTTTGTAATGCAAACAATAGATGATGTACTTATATAAATGTCTGATACGCGTAATGTTCATAAATCAAAAATTACTTAATTTAAATATAAATAAAAAAATAAAATCTAAAATAAATAGAATAAAATTGACTCGTCTATGTGTGATGAAAAATAAAAATTTAAATTAAATAAATCGTGTATAAAGAATAATAATAAAACTTTCATTTTTTATTCAGTCTATATTAAAAAAAAAAAATATATAAAAATAAAAATTAAAAATAAAATAAACAGCTCTAATGAAATTCGTTATTTTAAATTAAATTTTAAAAAAAGAAAAAAAATTCGATTTTTGTTTTTTTTTTTATATAATATTTAATTATAAATGAAATATAAAAGCAACAGAAAATAGAAAACAGAATTCATTTAAAGAAAAAGAGAAGATAGTGAACGGTTTATAATTAATGAACGCGAACGCGATGTCCCCAAATGAGTTAAAAATTTTCAATATTTGTTTCAAATATAAGAAGAGCTGCTGCTCTTAAGCTCTTTTACCAAATATTCAATAAAGCTTTGTTTACTTTTTTAAAAAGTATATTTTTCTTAACGTTCTTTCCAATCTTTCCACCCTTTCGAATATTCGCTTTCACATTTTTATTGTTGTTTTCTTTTTTTTGCTTATTTTAGACTTAGAGTCTCTTAGAGTCTTTTCATAGCCTTTACGTCTTGGCCTACGTGTCAGTTTTTGTGTAATCTAATAAAATATTTTAGTTCTAACACATAATATTGGTTATCGCTATTGCGAGCACTCTCCATTTCCCTGCCCTTTCACTTCCTATTGCACTAAGACGGGGTTAAAACTTATTAGAAATGCTTTAAATTCACTTTCGATTATCGAACGCTAGTATAAGTGAAGTGTTCATTGGCGAAGACGGCTCTTTAATGAAGACATAATTTAAGGGAGTAGACCAGTTGTAAATTTAGAAAAATACACTGAATTTTCATAGTGCATTAATATAAATTTTTTTGGCAATTAAAATGAACTTTTTTTTTGCTTTATATATATGTAATATGGAATTCGTTATTACTTTTTTACACGATTGTCTTTTGCACGGTGTTTTAAGGAACATATCTATCATGTAAAAAAAGAGTTAGTGTGTGTTTTATAATTTCTAAAAACCGCATCTACCGTGTAAAAAAAGGGTTGGGTTGATAGTTACTTGAGGAGCCTTTCACACAATTTTATTTGCACGGTTTTCTAAGGAACGTATCGTTGGCACGGTTTCCTACGAAGCGAATTTATCGTGTAAAAAAAGAGCTTCCCGAGCCTTTTTCAAATTTTTTTGACGGCTTTTCGAGAAACGTGTTTACCGTGTACAAAAAGAGTTAGGTGTAAATTTTACTTTATATGTTACTTAAGAGCTTTTCACACCATTTTCTTTTTTGCACGGGTTTCTAAGAAGCATGTCTACCGTGTCAACAAGAAGTTGGATGTATATGTCACATTAGTTCGTTGAGTCACTTAAAAACCATTTTCATAAGAACTTTCAAGATGGGAAAATATACGACATCTCAAATATGTTTTCACTGCTTGCTACTACTACTTTTTGTTTGACATAATTGAAGATAATTAGCGTCTTAGTAGAATCAACCGTTTTGCGTATAAATGATCATTATGACTGATGCTCATGTCTTTGCAAAAAGCCTGGTAGTAAGCTTTGTTCATAAATTGTTAGTGTGTCTCAGAATCACAGAAAGTATTAATATTATGCAGGATACGTAACTTCATGAAGATATCCGGACATGAAATTGGAACTCGATTAGAGAGAGAGAGAGAGAGAGGGAGAGAAAGAGAGGGAGACAGAGAAGCGACAGATAAGAAACTTCAATAGGAAATAAAAACGACAATATCAGCTCATTTTGGGACATCTTGTATATGTATATATATGTAATCATGGATGATTAGTGAAATATTTGAAAAATTAGTTAATGAGGAAAATTTGCGACTAAATAATAATCAAAAAGAATTCATTTAGAAACTCGTGGCACATTAGGGCACAATGCTATTATTAATATAATCGAGTTCTTTTAAAAAGAAACTATAATGAATGAAAAGAAATAATAAATTTATTATTAATTTAAAGAAAAATTATTGCATTTATCGAGCCCAGCTATATTAAATCATATTTTCTGTCATGTTTTTAATTAAACTCCCTCTGACTTACATACGCTTTTAACTCTACTATTTTTGATTAAAATTTATCTTATACTATTGCAACAATAACTTTAGATCACTTATTCTCTTAGTCTATTATCTAAGTGTTGCTCAGTTTCGCTTGCTTTCCTCAATTAACCATTTGCTTGCCTTTTATACATATTGTATATGTATGTATGTATGTATGTATGTATGCATGCATGTATGTATGTATATATGTATATATGTATGTATGTATGTATAGACACATATACATATACATATGTTTGTGAGCATTTTGCTAAAAATTATAATTTTTTCTTTTTAATTTAAGTTTATGGTCTATGAAGGAAAAAAAACAAAGGATTTCATAAAATATTTGCTTTGTCCCCTTCGCCTTTCTATCTAGAAAAAACCAAAATGTATTTACAATATAGAAAGAAAGAGAAAAAGATAGAGAGAGAGAGAGAGAGAGAGAGAGAGAGAGAGAGAGAGAAAGATAGAGAGGTGCAAAAGCAGAGTGAAAGCTTACTTTAACTTAACGATTAGAAGAATTCGCATGGATAGGATTGACTTTTGCCGATAAAATATTATTCTTTGGAGAAATATCCGGTGTAATTAATGTATCCTCATTACTTTCTTCCAATTTTATACTCTCAGCATCTAGTTTGGGATCAATATGTAGTTCGGAGCTGCCATCTCCGGAAGCACTATCCACTTCATCAATATCTGTTGTTAATTTTTTTGGTTTAGCTGTGGTTGGTTCCCTTTCTTTTTTCGATTCGATTTTCAATTCTCCCGAACCTGATCCGTTATCAGATATGCTTAGATCTTTTCTTGATTCCATAAGGCTTTTATCGTTCAAGTTTATTTTCTTTTGCTCGATAGTTGGGAAATTCGTGTTATTCGCAATGGCTGTTTCCTCAGATAAATCTTCACCGGAATAAATTAATTGTATTTTAACTTGAGATTTTCTTTTCTCATAAGAATCGGCTGCTGACGATTTGATATGTAAATTTTCACCACTACCTTCGGTTGTCGTTGAAAAGGAGCCCGCTGACGAAAGAGAATGAGAAAACGATGAAGAAGAAGAAATTGAAGACGACAAATTCAATAGTTCATCAGCCAACATGCCGCTACCGCTGCCATAGTGTGTCTCATCCAAATTTTTAGTGCTCTTACTGGCAACACTACTTGATCCCACTATGCTTCGCGGTTCATCTGGTGTATCATCGCTATCGGAAAGTTGAAAATTAATATCTCTCAAGCTGAAATCATCTTCCGGTAATGAGGGATAAGCAGGATTTGCTTCCGGTATGCCGGCTTCATCGTCTTCTAAATGATGCTGCAAACCAACTTCGGTAGTACTAGAAGTTTTACGTAAATCGTTGTCGTCTGCTAAAGGGATCATTTTATCATTAACTAACGATTGTTTCGGTTTTTCATTGCTATCAAGTGCAGGCGAAGTATGTAATACAGAAGATGAGAGTTTATTATTTTCCAATTCTTCCAATTTTTCTTTCATAGGAAAATCTAAAAATATGATATTTAAGTAAATTTCATTTTTTTTTTTTTTTTGGTCATTTGCATTTGAAAATGTCACTTACTTCCCGCTACTGTTGACTCCTTCATGTTCAATTGCATTTCAGTGGTACTCGTTGCTCTCGATCCATCGGTAGTTAAAATAATATGATAAATGTTATCGCTACCGGCAGTGTCTGTATCTAAATCATCTGAATGGCCACCATTGCTGCTTAATCCACTATCAGGATTGTCTTGATCACTGTGATTATCATTGTAAATCACTTCCGCATTAACGAGTTCTTCACTAGTGCCACCGCCTTGTCCTTTATTAGTATCGACGAAAACACTTTCGGTACTCACTAAATATTCTCTCTTAATATTTATTTTTGTTGGATCCTCAGATAAGCTTGGATTACCGTAGTTCCATGCTGCAAAAACAAATAAGAAAACATTTATATCAAATTTGTGATGATTGCTTTTGCTATTCGAGAGCATGTCTGCAGCATTGTTTGGGGCAATGGATTTTTTTTTGATTATTTATTGTATGGGAAGTGGAAAAGTTTAAACAGCAATGTAAAAGTTATATTTGTTCAACTTACTTAACAATTCTGCACTGCTTTCTTGAGAGTTCGATGTGGAACTTATTTTCGCTGCCGCCTGTTCTGTGGAACTATAAGCGACCGAAGCGGCTAATTTCAGACTTTCACCACTACTAAAACTGCTACTGCCACCATTTAACTGTAAGCTAAGCTTTTCGTTGCTTTGACTATTGTCCACACTTAATGCCGTTAGCTTTGTTAAGCTTTCTTGCCCATGATGATTATTATTATTATTGTTGTTATTGTTGTTGTTGTTGTTACTGTTGCTGTTGCTGTTTGTTGAGGAGGCATCATTTGTATTTGCTGTTGGCGCTGTTGTCGTAAGCTTTATTATAGCGGACATTGGTGAATTTGTAATTGGAGATGGGGTTGTTGTCGTTGTTGTGCTGGTTGTTGTGGTTGTCGTTATAGATGGTTTAAGCATTTGATGTACGGGTGCTTTATAATAACAACGAGAACATATATATAATGAAATTATTTATTCATTTACATTTATATCTTTATTCATTTACACAAATTAAATTTATTAAGATAGATGCTAATGTCTGTCCATCAATAATGAAGAGAAATATTTCCTGTTGTTTCAAATATTTAGGAAAGAGCTAAGGAACTGTAGTGTTTCTTGTAAGAAGAGAAGGATTTCATATGCATTTGTAAGTTTTTGTTATAGCGTATATTAGTGAGTTTGTTGTTGAGGTAATGATCCTTCTTGTGTAGATGGTTTTAGTAACCGATGCATTACTTATTTTCCAGGGCACGAGAGATGTTCATGGAGTCAAAATAAAAGTGATGGCAAAGTGATTTTTAATATTATTTCCTAGAAAAGTGTTTTGTTTTGAGATCAGTTTCTTTGAAAAAAAGCTTTGGAATTGCATTGCGATTTGGACAAATGTCCCAACAGAGATAGGTCTTAAAGGAAGTCGTGTTAAAGGTAAAGGAAATTCAAAAATCACTGATCAATTATCTTAAACTTAATATTTTATGTGTACATTAATAAATGTGTTAATATTAATATTGCCTGTGACTGAATGCGTAACATTTTAAGCAGGGATTCAGAACGACTTTAATTGCATTTTATGTATCAGTGTTCAAGTTCCAATGAAGGAACGAATTGAGAAGTGATCAGAGAATATTTCTGGATGATAATCCTCTGGAAGACTTCTCGCAATGGTTGGCAATGCGTAAATGATTACCTGATATAAAATTAATATTTTGATGATAAATTGATTCTCATAAGGAAACTTTTTAATTAAATTTTGTGTGTAGGTGATGTTGAACGATATACAAGGTTAAAGCGTAAAGACTACGTTAAAACGGGGATTCAGATTTGGGATATGGAATGGAAAGAAATTTTATTCTTTATTTTATTTGTAAGGAAACGTGGGCTGACCATATCATCTTCAGTCAGTCATTTTAGTGGGGCCCTCTATGTAGAAATCGGATGAAGAAATCGACAAAAAGGATCTAGAATTTATACAATATTGGCATTGATTGCTTTAGTATGGAAACCAAAAACTTCTTTTTACAGAATCGCATTTGAACCGCAGACTTTACACAGCACCAACTTATTAAAGCAACATTCCTGAATGATAAAGACGAATACACGATATATATAATATAAACTTACGATAATCGGTTATTCGTATTTCAATCGGTTTAGTGATCTCTTTGATAGTAATTTTTGGATTTAAAACAGCAGGCGACTGCAACTCAGATCTAGCAGTTGTTGAGCTGATAGCAAACGTTTTATTCGCTGCAGATTCCGATGTGACAACTGCAAATAGTAAATAAAGAGAAAAGTTATTATATCCCTCACTAGATAATAGTTTTTATACCCAATTCTCTATATAAGGAAAAGTCGTGAAAAAGTGCCAAACGACTTTTATTGCTTGGAGTCATATATGGGGATTGATCGTAAAAATCTTTCTACCACATAAACACATTATTATACCAAATTTCAACAAAATATCTCAAAAAGTGCAAGACACAGGTTGAACGTTAGAATGTATGCGGACAACCGCACTAGCTGGATACGATTAGCTTAGATTGATTCAAAGATGTGGATCTTAAGTCCTTCATTATATACGCTTCGGCGTAAATTTAAACGACCCTATGCTTATAAGCGGCATAGGGTATAAACATTTCTTCCCTCTCGGTGAAAACGTTCGTACCACATATACGCCTTTATATAGGAATAAAGTTTTAGTATTTTATGATGAGAGTTGCATCTTAACTCGTGCTCTGGCACCTGAATGCGCTGCACTAAGTTCGAATCACATAGACGGATTTACCGGATCTTTTTCCCTTTTGCCGCTTTTGGGTAACGAAATTTAAAAAGTCGTCGCATTCTTCGTAACACGACTTAACAAAACTGCATGGATCCCGTGTTAGTGTAAAGAGTTGTAAATATATACATATATATATATATCGCCACTTTTGAAATATTATAGTAAAGTGAAAAAGATCAAATGGTCGAAGATCAGAGGCCACAAACGAATAAACGCACGCGTCGTTGTAAAGGTAGCTAGTACGGCAGTAGTGTGGAATTCCACTTTCTATTCAGCAAACACTCCGCAGATGGTTACTCTCAAGAAATACACGCGCAGAAAATCCTATCGGGAAGACCCTTACCAGACGGACTATCAAAGCTTTCTTACTGGACGGGCTTATATTATACCCCAGGGTATTAAACACTCTGCGGTACTTTCGGTCTCGTTCGGCACATCAGTTTTTGTGGGCGACCTTTTTCACAGGAGAAGAAAGCTCTAAGCCCACCACGGGTGAGGTAACAACATTAATTTTAACAAATTTGAACCAAGTCGGTTCACGTCTCCTTATAAATTTGTCAATTTCATTCGCTCGGTTTAGCCTGCTGAGGAAATTTCAAAACTTTTCTTTTCGCTTCGAAGGGAAATTTAGATAATCAGAGTTTTAAGCTAATGTATGGAAACTTTTTATTTCCACTTCTTCGAATTTTGTTTTAGTTTATTATCGCTAAAGCGATAGTTTTTGGATTGCCCAGGGATATGTTTGTACGAAACCTAAAATGGCTGGTAAAATTCTCATACTTGCAAGCTTCCTTCTTTCAAAGCTACAGATAAATCGAGTATTTTATCTGCATGAGGAAAAATGCTTTTAAATTTTGGAGTAAATAAATTGGGAAAACTATTAAAGCACTGGCACTGGCATTTAAAAGAAATTATAGGCAAAGCAAAAATGCATTTCGACGCATTAATTCATATTATTTGAGTTTACGAAACTTTTGAGTACACCCTACACGAGGTATTTTAAATGATTTCATAATGCTTTCAATAAAAATTTTAACTGACTAAATAATAATCTCTCTCACCTGGACAATTATCGTATTCCGGGCAACAGACTCCCGATATATACTTAGGGCTACAATCATCGCGATGAAAACATGTTACCGGACTGCATAGTATCTCGCCAGCTGTTATAATAAGCCAACAAATAAATGATGAAAAAAAAAATAAAAAAAAATATTAGAAAACTTTGCTAACTTTTCATGGCCATACAATCAGAATAACATATAACACAATAATAAACATTTACCTTGACAGTAGCAAACAGTGCAAGGAGTCTCCGGATCTACTAACTTATCGCCATTTGAATATGTTTTTCCATCCTTTTCACAATCTGCCGTCGAAAGTGGAACAACAAACAAACAAAAAAAACGAAAAAGTAAACAAAATCTAAATATATTAAAAAAAAACTTTTGTTTTTGCAAAAAAATTAAAAGAGAAATTTAAACTTTATTTGCATTGAAATAAACGTTTACCATATAAAAACTGATAAAAACCAATTCATCATTGGCCAGGTGAACGTAGCGTATACGCACGTATATCACTCGTTTATAGATATCCATGTAAACATTTGTATGTGCATAAAACTCACCGCATTTGTAATCAGGACAACAGTATCCTGTTTTTTGTATGGCACGACAACCGACTTGCTTCTCACAGAAAACAGTTGTCTCCGGCACGTATTCACCGTCCAATAGACATTGGCCTATAAAACGAAATGAATGTGAAAGTGTTAAAAATATTGCGGTAATATGCGACGAAAGTGTTAGTTAGTCAGTCGTTCATTTGTTCGTTTGGTTAGTCGGTCGATTGGTTGCTATTGCTTGCTTGCTTCGTTAATAAATATAAAATACTTTATGGTAAGATAACGAACGTAAAGCAATTTTAAAGAGACAACCAACATTTGCCAAATGAAACAAAGCGAAGAAAATACCAAAAAAAATGTTCATTTTTCTCTGATAAGTATGAATTAATGTTCTTTGATACCTTGTGGCTGGTCTAAGGTAATTTCAGTGGAGGAGGAGCTCGTGACACCGACTGTGTCCTTGACATTCTCCTTAGCTTGCAGTAGACTAGTAGTTATGGCAGCTACATCGCGTAATGCTCGATGCAATAATTGTGTGCCTCTCATATCATCACCGTTCAAATGGAATGCCAAACTAACAGCCGGTACTGTAAACAAAATGACAAAACAAAAACAAAGCAAAGGTTTTGAAAAATTAGTTGAGTGTTTTTTTTTTTTTTTTTTTTTGTTTTGTTTTCTAAGGATATAAAAATTTGAAAACTCTAAGCAAAGTCAAAAAAGAAAAAAAAACACATACAGTCGCAGCATGATTCGTTTTGGAGTGGTGAGCCCCGTTTACAATGTCAACAAAACTTTAAATTAGTTTTTAGATGAAGTTTTTACACTCGTAGTTTTTTTTTTTGTTCATTTCATTCAACACATGTACGCATTTAACGCATACGCATGCATTCATTCGTTCTAGAACTCATAGAATTTTCATTTTTTTTTTTTTTTTTTTCTTTCTTTCTTTGTACATATGAGATCTCGGACGAAGTTTCTTTTTACTCATGCATTTAGTTTTTACCTTTGGTCATAAAGTATTTTTATACCCATCACCACCGATGGATGTGGGGGTATATTCATCTTGTCGATACGTTTGCAACGCTTGGGAGCAACCATCACAGACCCCATACTAAAGGGTACACATTCTTGATGAGCATCAAATCAATCGATTTAAGCATGTCCGTCAGTCCGTCATACCGTCTGTCCGTTTGTACATCTGTATAATGTCTATTGCAAACATTCTCCTGACCGCAAAAATATGAGAAAATGGGCCAAATCTGTCGTACGACACTCCCACAACACCAAGTCGATTGAGAATACCTATGCTTTTCAAAGGAAATGAAAGATTGGTTTTTTTACTGATTATTCATAAAATCAAAATTGAATCATTTCTTCACTACTTTTATAACGCACAGAAAAAAGCTTCAAAATCCTCATAAAGTGTAAAAATTCTTGGCGACTTTCAAATCTTGAATGCGCGCCTAAACATGTCCCCCTGTTTGTCCATCTAGCTGGTTACGCATTTTTGAAGTATTTTTGGCAAACATTCTCCCGTTAACGAAAATGAAGATATCGCGTTCAATTATTCAATTGGTTTTGGAATTGACCTAAACTTTTCAAGAAACACGCCTACAACGTTCAAATGCCTCTACAATAAAAAAGTTTTATTTTGAAGGGAGAAGAAATCAACTGCGCCCAATTCACATTATACAGTCAAAGAATTTTGTTCTTTCAGTTCTTTTGTCTCTTTTGGGGGTAAACGACGATATAGGTATAAAAGATTCGGTTCCAACCGAATTTAGTTTACTTGTTTTTTTTTTTTTTGTTTTTCAATAGCACTTTATCTCTTCAAAAAATTAAACCTAAACTATTTGCAGGAAGTCAGCGGAGGATGTGTTTTATTTTTTGCAAGTTTATACAAATTTTGTACATAAATTTTTTAAAACACTCTACTTTGCGTATATATGTAAAAGTTATTGCTGAATAAAATTAAATTAAATACGACGAGGAAGTTCGAGTAGCAACTCAATGGTCGTGGGTTCGAATCTCAAGTGCGGTAGAGTTTTTAATAAAAAGCTGATAGCCTTAGATAGTCATGCTTTAAGAGTTTAGTCTTAGAATTTATTTCCCTGATTAAATTAATAATAATGATAATAATAATAATAAATACGACTCTTTCCTAATGAATTCAAGAACAGTTGAAAAACATTACCGGGGAAGTGAAAATGGCAAAATAGGTCTGTTAGTGAAAGGAGAAAGGTCATCTTGAAACGAACCTCCAGTTCCGATGGATATATACAAAATGAAAATTATTTTATTATTTGCATATGAGCCATTTTTTAATACCCTACATCAGTTATAATGCACGGGCGTATTAAGCTTGCGCGGATGTATGCCATAGTCAGAAAGACTTCAGATAGACCCGATCGATTCGAAATCACTTGTTGCATCGAACTAGGTTTGTCCGTCCGTCTGTCCATCTTCTTTTGCCACAAGGCGTAACTTTTGAGATGTTTTGCTGAAATTTGGTACGCCGAGATATTTTGGTCTAAGGACGAACTCTGTTGAAATTGGTTCGGATCGGAAATCTTTTTCACCCAATTCTAATATAGCAAAGTGAAAAGTTGTTATCCCAATAGCTGTATTAACGGGTGTAGGGTACTTAATGGTGGGTCGTGTTCCACTATAATGCTTTCACTTGTCACATTTTATAGACTTCCTATGGATAAATGCTGCCGTGGGCAGACGCAGATTTCGCTGATCTTTTAACCTAATTTAAGGAGAGCAATAGGAGAAAATTTGAGAAGGAGAAACGTACTTCTAAATAAAGTTTTAAGTTTGCATTCATAAGCTTAACTGAGACATGGATAGGTGAAGAGATAGAAGGAACATTGTTTTATAGAATGATCAGTTGTGTATGCAGTTCAAGCAGCCTCAAAAGACTACTTCTAAGCCTTAAAAACATTCACAACTTTTGCATCTGTTCTGATTTTCTTAGGTTTGTTAGTGATAGGCCAGGGCTAACTCCCAACATAATTAATGAAAAATATATATAATTTTTTTTTCATAAAATTATCAAGAACAACGCAGTCAGTCGGCGTCTATTTTTGTGTTTGTGAAGATACTTAAAGTAGACTTCACTTTCCATAATAACCTCATTAGTTGATTCAAATTTTTTCCTTGGAGCAGCTTTTCGAGATTCGTCAACAAGTAATAGCAGCCGACAAATTGAAATTCCGTTATTGCAATGGTCTTGTGGTTAGTTGTTTACGTTTCACTGTGAGCTGATACCGCATTCAGATTTGCGATCAACTTTTTCACGTCCAAACTTTCTTTTAATAGGAGATAAATACGCTCTTTAGATATGTTCGTAGCCTCATTCATTCCTCTAAACTTAATTCAACATGCAGACAGCATAATATGATGTCCGTACGCGATGTTCTCGCCAGTAGTTACAGTTTTTTGCAGCCCTGAACGTTCATCGTCACCTAAGCTTATAGGGTGACATTTTAGTCCAACCAAACAAAATGTCACCGTTCCAAACGATGAGGCTGGAATTGTGCGAAGAGCACCTTTAATTTGCGAAGTTCTATTGTTTTCCGAGAATAAATGCATAATGACGGCTCGATAATAAATTTTTTCTGCAAACACTCATATTCATTCACCCAAGCCTTTGGCAAACAACAACTCATAACGGTCGAAATTTTGGCGAGCTGTGGAGGTACCGCCGCTTTCATGCTCAGTTCGGTAACTTTTCAGCCAACCTATGTATTTAAGCCTGGTTTCAAATGATCGGTGAGATATTTGCTTACTTTTTGTGTTTAAGATCTTTATTGAAGCCTTTCTGAAGTTCACTCGCGTTGCCTCGATTGCACTGTGTTTATTAAAAGTTTTCTTACTTTCTTATATACAACGACTGATCGAAAAGGGATTCTTTTGACTCTACTTGAACCTTTAATCTTGAGACCGTTTCACTCTTTATCACTTGAATACCAAATGCAATGACATCGCGAAGTCATCGCAATCATCTAACTTTTAGTATTTACTTCTTAATATTTACTTAAATTGGCAATAAAACCAAACTAAAAAGCATTAAATACATTAACATTTACTTGTACATCCATTAATGTAAAATAATAAGCGAGCAAAAAAAAAAAAAAAGAACAAAAGCGGACATATATAGCACTTGGATGGAAAAATCAAAGTTTATAATATTAGTGAGAAAGAACGGAAGGAAGAAAAAGTCAGAAGAAGAGAGATAAAAAACACAAAAGATAACAACGAAACATAAAAACATCCCGCCGTTATCGAATAAGTTTCAAACAATTTACATTCTAAATATTAGAAAGCAAAAGATTGTTTTTTCAATTCCTTGCTTTTATTGTAAATCGAATCGTGAAAATGTTAAAATTTCATCTCGTCAATGAACTCAAACTTCATATGAATATATGAATAACAATTACAAAATAAAAAAAACAATTTTCGATAGATAAACAGCGCACTGATGTTTCGTTCTGTATTTCGATAACATGACCACTGTTCGTAGTTGTTTAACAGAAGCTTTTTACGCCTTCAAAGTGCTTATATATATATATATATATACAAGTGTAAATTTTTTTTTTTTTTTTTTTTTGTGAAAAAAACGCTTACTTTGTAGTAGTTAAAAAATATATATATTAATTAAAGTATCGTCGACTGCTAGGTAGGTATACATTTCGTTCATCTTGGTGAGAAAATATGAACTGACGGCGAAAGGACATCTTTTCTTTTAAAGCTATGCACAAAAATCGGATTTGTTGATTAATTTCATCCTAAGAAGCGAGGAGGGATAGCAAAAAGGCGCAATAATTAGTAGGTGGAAAAAATTAGTAAACGAAACCTTGTTGGATAAATAAAGCGGCTAACAAGAGATTGGCGGGGAGTGCTAGCAACTCCCAAGCAAGTTAGTGCTGCTACGAAGTTTTGCAAAACACTTTCGAGTGTTCTCTTACCCTATAAAACCTTTTAGATTATCAGGCCGGTTTTTCGGGAGAGATAGAGTGATAGAGAGACAGAGAGAGATAGAGAGATAGATAGATAGATAGATAGAGAGAGAGAGAGAGAGAGAGAGAGAGAGAGAGAGAGAGAGAGAGAGAGATAGTAGAAAAATAAACCTTATGCGTACATAATCCATGACAGGAAAATATAAGAAGCCCGCCCACCATCACAATAGGCAAAATCTGAACAGAGGAAATTTTTTAAATCAGATCTTAAATAGAATGAATTTTATTCTCTGAAATTTGTAGCAAATATTTATTAGAAAATTCAGCGAATCGATTTCAAAACACACCCACACACACACAATTCTCATAAAGCTTAACTTACAAGATGTAAGGTATCACTTTAGCTATGGTTACCGCATGGATGCCGCATATGATCGCATATAAATAACAACCTCCTACATAATAAGTGATAAAAGAACTACTTAACACCTTTCATATATTACTCTCAGATAGCGTTTATTAATGATTCACTCAAACTTTTTCATCCTTCAATCCTTATCTCATCTCACTGTTTCGTTCTCATTCGCTTTTACATTTTAATATTTTCAATGTTGTATTTTGAA